GATTTGTTCCCATCGTATCAGTACCGTTAAACGAAGCTGTCGTATCGGTACACTCAATATGAATGTATCGGTACGCTCAATATGACTGTATCGGTACATAACACATATCGATACCTTTGAAACACATTGGAATTTCATAATATGTAAGCGTATCGGTACATCTACAAGGTCATACAGGTACACATAGACCAAAAATAACTTTTTAATTACTCCTAACTTTGTAAATTGTAAATTACCTTCAAAATTTTATTCAAAATCATTTATCTAGATTAAATAGATAATTTCATACTTTAAATTGATTTTATCCACACTATTTACGTACCCTCAAGTACTCATGTCTTAATCTTTAATCATACAATTGATCCAGCTAAACTTAAATCATAAATTACTCAACCCAAATTCATATACAAAAATACACTTTTTGACTCACCTTTCAATATTTTTTGATATTTGTACTCGGTCAAATAATGGCAAAATATCCAAAATAAAATTAAACAGTTATAAAAATATCCAAAATCCATAAATATGAAGCGGTAAATAATCCAACATGTAACATCCTCAATACCAGGTTAGTGACTAAATTGTAAAAATTTCAGAAGTTGGTGATTAATGTATAAAAGTGGAATAGTTCAATGATTTATTTGGAAATATTTCATGAAAGTTGTTAGTAATTATTAAATGAAGTAAAGGGCAATTTGGTCATTTGACATGAAAGATATTTTCCCCCTTTAATAGGAGAGAAACACGTAGGGGGAGAGAAATATGGAAAATTCTCTTCTTCCTCTCCCTTCTTCTTCCTCATCTCCAGGGAAGCAAGGCAAATGTAAGATTTCTTTGTTGTTGATTATTAGCTGAAATTTAAGTTGGGTTTTGATCATTAGATGATAACTAAGCTTAAGGAAAGCTTAAGTTATCTTAAAATCAAAAGATGAAGAAGTTATGAGAGATTTAAGTGAATGAGTTTCTAAATGAATTTATGGAAAAGAGTTGATAAGTTGAATTTGAAGTTAAATTTGACTTGTCACCAGTCTACTTAAGAGATATGAAATGTTAGAATTGGATTTAAAACATGTTAAAAAATTGGGTATGATTCTTGAAGTTCATAAAGAGGAGAGGATTTTGAGGTTTAAGATGAGATAAATGGATATAAATGAGTTTAAGCATGTATTTGTAAGTTAAGAACATGAAAGGGGAGGAAACATGAAGTGTTGAAGCTGAAAAAAGTGAATTTCGTGCTTAAAATATGATTTCTGGGCAAAGAGTATCGGTACCATTCAATATGTACCGATACCCTCTTGAACGGAAAATTTCAGAATGTAATCAGAGTACCGATACCTTAGGGTGAGTATCGATACCCCCTAAAGGAAAAAGTGAATATGGGTCTTTTAAATTCGTTTAAGTTATTAGTATCAAATTACAAGGTGTAGATATCTGATAATTACCTTAAAAATGTATGATTGTGTAGATATCGAGTACAATTTAAACGACAACAAAGTTCAGATGTGTCATCAGAGTAAGATTCAAGAGAGAACAATAATTGGTATTGGCAAGTAGCTAAGGTGAGTACATGATGATAAGGGTAAATTATGCTATGGAATTAAGACTTGCGATAAGTCTATTTCCTATATTAGAATGCATAAATTTATGATTATAAGTATGTGAATGACATGATTTGTATGTATGCTTGATTATATGAGTTGATAGGTTCTGGTATGTGCTATGTGTTTTATGTGAGTATAAAAGATAAGTAATGTGATAAGATTTATATGATATATGTAAATGAAAATATATGAGTATGAAGAGTTATAAGAGAATAAATATAAATCATATGATTGAGTTTTGTAATGTTTTAAACGTATATATGTAAATGATAACTTTATAGTGATAAAAGGTTAAATTTTATGAGTTTTATATATGTTTGACGGAGTTACTATAGCAGGGTATCGGTACACTGTAGCAAGGTATCGATACCCCTGTAGCATTCTGAAAATTTTTAGCATTTTGTACTGTTCACAGAACTATTCATTATTGTTCACGGTACTGTTCATACCGTATAGTACTATTCATACAAACGTTTCTTTCCTTAAATTTGTTATAACGAACATCATTCAACAATAAAATGTGTAATAATATGAGAATATGATGAAAGTGAATTCCAAAGAACAATAGGAACTAAGTAAACATGTGTAAAGGTTATATAAATAATAGAAACATGAATGAGACAAGCACATAGTGGTATGATCAATTATGAGAATTAGTGCATTAGAGTTATATGATTTATGGAGAATTGAAGAAAACTAGATAAGATTGAATTATAGAATGAACTGAGAATAATATAACACTTAGGGAACTTGAATATAAAGTGATGATATGCACATATAATATAAGATATTTGTTTATAAATATGACATAGGTTATGTGTTATATAATAAATATGAACATATGAGAACAAGAGATGAAATAAATGACTTTGTGATGGAAGTTATATGACCCTGAATGATGTAAATAGGAATAATTTAAGTAATATGTAACTATGAGTATATGAGTATGTATCTATGTGATGTGATATATGAGGTAATATGAAATATTATTCGACTATGTGATTCTATGAAAAAGAATATAGGTATATGTGAATTATATGGAAATGAACTACGTGACTGGATGTGATCTTATGAAAATTTATAATGAGTTATGTGAAAGAACTATGAGATTATTTGTATATGTGATTATGAGAAGAAGAAAATGAACATATGAATGTATGACTTTGAGAAGTCATAATAATAAGATATAAGCTATGCAAAAGTGATCTACGTGACTATGTATATGTGATCCAAGTTTTGTGACATCAGCTGTGTGATATGTGAAAGTGAACTACGTGTTATGTGAAATGATAAGTATAAAGATAATGCCCATGTTATGTGTCATGAGATCTAAAGGTATAGTTGGCATGCCAAGAGTCGAGGGTCTACGCGGTCCTTCAGGACAATTCTACGTGGTCCTTCGGGACATATATGTATTCTTTGGAACATGTATGAGGTCTTTTGAGACACCTACTTGATCCTTGGTATATGTATATGATTCTTAAGGAATTTCTATGTGGTCCTTATGGACAATCTTATATGTCACTACGGTGCATTTCTACGCGGCATTTCGGTGCAAATTCTATGTGGCACTTCGGTGTATTTATACGAGTTGTGGTGATAGAATTTGTGCACAACCTCAATGTACTCACATACCTTAAGTTCTCAAAGTATACATGGGCTAATAAAGCAATAATATAAATATATTATATGTGATATGTGTATGTATTACATGTTATGGGGAATGTATTACAAGGATTATATGATGTTATGCATGATAAAATATAAGTTGTTTTGTGTTTATTGTTTAATTAAGAATGACTAAAAGATATAAATGATAATGGAATGAGGTAAAGATAGAAAGGATGAGTTATGTATATGAATATATTGGATTATATGAAATGTTATATGGTTTTGCATGATATGATAGTATTAATTGTACATGCATTGTTATAAGTAATAGTTTAAATTATATGTTTTATATGTCTCACTAAGTCAACGACTTAGCGTGTGAGTGTTTCAAACGTAGGTTTTGACGAGCTTATGTAACGATGAAGAGCAAGACATGTCAGTTTCTCCTTACTGAAGGTCAGATCAGAAGAGAAATGAATAGTATGTATTTTATAATACTGATTATAGTTGGCATGTAAATAATGGTTTGAATCTGATATGCTCTAATTGATTTTGTAAAATCATATGATTGTAATTTATGTAAATATAATCGTGTGTTAATAAAAGTTTTAAAATTATTCACTATTTTGTACAAGTAAATGTTTTGAAATGTCAATGTGACACATTAGATTCGTATTCGGGTCGGTACGGGTTAGGGGTGTTACACAACAAATCTAAAATACCAACATATCTTAAATAAAATAGAGATGAAGGATAAATGATATCCAAAGTGACATAGCCACAACAAAATAATCCAACTTAATCCAAACTAATCAATAGAATAAAGCTAAGCCTCCAGTGTATCGTCGTCGCATAATGAAACCCTCTATATGAGTGATCAACTCTGAAAGTGATGCCAAAGAGACATCTTTTTAAGGTATTGGAGAAATTGGTTGACGAGCCGCTCGAAGTGTTGCAGGTGCTGGAGTTGGCCGTGGAACGCGAGGAATCCACTCACCGTTGATGAGATTGAAATGAGCCATTTGAAGATATTGACCATCAATTTTATTTCCTAGAGAGAAAGGAATATACATGGATCAATCTATGTTCTCCTTAATAAAGATATGACTCAGGACAAAATTGTAGTAAAAGGAGATGACCATGTTGGGATTGTCGATACAACCCATGGCGCATCGAAAAAAATATCCAACGACCTCACAAGTGATCCATGTATGAAAATTTGAATTCAGGTGGAAAAGATGTGTGATATACCTTGGGTTCCTGGAATAACAACAAATCAGCAGTGCATTCACGAATAGTTCAAATCCTAAGCCTCCACGAAATTGTCTCGGCCTCTACTCAATTCACCAGATTGAGGGAAATTTTCTTTTTCTCAAAATTGTTTTGAGAAATTTTGTCAAAAGACTAGAACGACTGCTAAGCCATCATAATCTTTTTATACGACAATAACCCTAACTCTTAGGGTTTTAATCTAAATTTATTTATTATTCCAAATTATATATTTATTAAAAGAAATATATTCATAACTATTATTTTAATATTTATTTATTATATTCGAGATAATTAACTATATATATATATACATAATAACTTTAATTATATACATCATTCATGTACGATAAAATTATACAAATATGTCTCATTTAAAATTTGTTCATTTCAACCCTAGGGTGTGAACCTATAGGTTCATGTAACATTAGTAGTAATTATTAAAACATCAATGTTGTGATGGGTATGCACGATTTGTTGTTTGGAGATAAAATCCCTTGAAATCCTTGCAAAAATTGTGAAGGATTTTGGTATTTTGATTGATAAATAAGTGGTTTTTTTAGAGAAAGTTGTGTTATTTAGGTTAAGGTTTGATAAAATTTGAGGAAAAACTAATAAGAGGCATATTTATATCACCAGACCCGCACGTACCAGTAAAATCATTATTTAATATCAGTATGTGTAATTGAACGTTATTGGTACACATTTTGTATCGATACCGTTGAAACTCACTAAAATTCACATAATTGTACTGTATCGATACACATGTTGTATCGTACTGGTACTTGCTATATATCCACTGCATTGGATTTGAATTTGTTTAAAAAAAACTCATTGTAAGGAACATGTATTATAAATAATTCGAATTTGTTTCAAAGAACTTTTATATTCCAACATTGAATTTGAATTTGATTTTTTTCAAATAAGAATTATATTCGTATTTGACACTCGTATTTGAATCTAAAGACTAACAATTATTTAGATTAGATATATTTTACATTTAAACCAAATTATCATTGAATATTAAAAAGTAAGAGTAATCTGAATATCCATTGCATTGAAGTAAGGGGAAGAAAATCACAAAGCACAATAAACATTATAATTGTAAATAAGATAAAAGTAAAGTAAGTAGAAAATCAACTTCATACAATCTGAAAGATTAAAACTTAACAATATTTTGTGCATATAACTAGTATGTCATGTATGTATATATAGAATAACATAATTAAACTAAACCTCCCGATGAACATAGAAATAGACAACTGCAACCGTTATCCACCATGCGGTAGTTGATTCGAATTTTGATATGTTATTGAGGCACGCTCAGACCTAGTCATGTTTATCATGAGAGTAAAAAATTGTAGAAAATAACATTAGTAATCGCAACAACAAAAAAAGCTAAAACATTTTTTAAGTGAATGAATCACTAATAAAACTAATTCTTAACTATTATAAATATATATAACAACAAAGAGTAATTACTATTATATTTCATATTTAATTACCTCAGATATTTAGACTGCACTTTACCAATCCTTATTTGGTTGTCAATCCAAAATAGTTGGATCTTTTTCCATATTTTTCAATTCATTAATATATGCAGTCTGCGAAAAAAATATTATCAACATGCATAACAACAAAGAGTGATCACTATTATATTTCATATTTAATTACCTCAGATATGTCATCTTTTTTTATATGTTTTGGGCATGTATCTAACTAATTTTGATATTTGAAGTGCTTCAGTATGCCTTTTATCCTGATCAGAAGGCTTGTTCGAAGAAGGCTTAGAGGTTTTATGCAAGTCCAACGTAACATCTTCATCATATGAAATATGTGGTAGGTTGGACGATGAAGCTTGACGCTTTGTTCTCTTGAGTTTTCTCTTTCCAGTTTCAAGAACTATAGGATCACCAATTCCAAGAGTCTCTCCATTTTTACTGGTTTTCTTTTTACATCTCACTCTCACCATTTTTAATTTGAGACTCAATTTTTCAAACTGATCTCTAAACTCATTGAAAATTTTGAATTTTTGTGATGCACGTTGACATATAGTCATATAATATGAGGCTATAATGAAATACATGGCTTAAACTGTTGGTGGATTATTATCTTCAACATATGCATTCTTATTTTATAATCCAACATCTTTCTTCGCATAAATAGTCCATCGTTTCATTATACATCCTTGAGGTATTTCTTTTTCCTTTTCATATTTCAACACGACACACATACGACGACATGGAAAACCAACATACTTCAACTTCATACAACAACAATACATGGTATCATGTGTGGTATCTTTCAGTACAAGATACAACTTTTCTTTTTCAACATGCTCTAACCAATAACACATACATTTATTATGTACTTCCATTTTTTTAACCAAATAATAACCCCATAAGGTATTTATTTGCATAGTGTAACAAAAACATTTCTAGTATATACTTGGGTTGTAATACGTTTTAAACTTTCCAACACACCATCATAATACGATTGTTCATCAATTGTTTTATAGTCTTGATGACATTCCTCTCATCTTAGAGATTGTAGTTGTCTATGATAATTCTCAACAAATCAATACAATATTACCTCTCTGTCCAACCAAGTTTTCAATGTGTTATTCTTTGTTTCACACCGTTGAGTAGTCCTCATTGTTGCACACCAAAATATATATTTGTTAAATATAGTAAGTAAATATAATATTAAATACAATTCAAGTGTATATAATGTTACCTACATAAAAATATCCTTGCAAATATGTCTATGCCTATTTCTCCTTAACTTTATACAATTCTTGAACTCATCTCATTCCTTCAACTTTGTGTTTGTCTACCCATTCTTTCCAAACCCTTTCAAAAATATGATTTAGTTCTACACTTGTCAGCGTATCTCAAAAACCTGTTGAGAAAACTGTGATCATCATTGAATTGCACGTTCTTCATGATATGCTATAAACACAATCTATGTTTTGCCCTGGTAGTACTTCAGGAATGACATTTTCCAGGGCCTTATCTCTACAAGTAATAACAGTAAGAGGTCTGTGGTCATCTCCTACTTCAATCAATTGTAACATCTACACTAAGTAACCTCTTTCTCATTCACAACCAATACACATCAAAATCACACTGTGTTTCAATGATGATTAACACCAACCAAAACAACGAACTACTTGTTGTAAGCGTTGCACTTGTAAGTCATATCAAATACAATAACATGCCCAACTTCTTTATAATCTGCAAGTAATATACCATCGTCCCAAAATAACTTCTCTAAGTTTCCGAATTCATCTCTCGTGTGCCTCACAAAAAAGAAAGGATCAAATTCTTGCTTTCCACATAAATGAGTCATCATCACCATCTTGTACTTCTTGTCGTTTGACTATATATATATAGTTGTACAAATCTTTTGGTAGAAATCCAAAATTCTCAATGGAACAACTTCATTCACGAAATTTCGTATCATCTTACTTGGACCAATTCCAGAGTTGTGAATGCTCTTAATCTTAATTCGATCTAACCGACTAATTTTTCAGTACCTAAACTTTCAATTTTTTAAAATCATACATAACGTTTAGTTTTCATTTCATTATAGTATCCCGTCATTAAAAATTTAACTTGTTTAGTACCTAAACTATCCATTTTGGTCCATTTTAGTACCTAAATTTTTAATTTTTCAAAACTTAACGTTAAATTTTAAACGAGAGTACTAAAATGAAACGAAAACTAAAGTTTTTAATAATGGGGTACTAAAATGAAACAAAACTAAATTTTATGTATAATTTAAAAAAAATAAATTTAAATATTAAAACATATTAAAATTGATAGTTTAAATACTATACATGTAATTTAACCTTGTATATATGAAATATATATGTATATATAGACTGATCCCTAATGTCTGAATTAGTAGCTAAGCGGTGGTCTTGGTTAGAAGTAATACTTCAATTACCTCTGACGAACATTAACGGCAAAAGGCAATACATAAACACGCAAAATGGGTTTTGGCTGGATTTGACATTGTAATTACTAAAGCAATTCCATTGCAGCAGCTAGCATGGGCCAAACAAACTAGAAACTATCCCCTTATTGGCCACTTTTTTCAACCTCGTCATATGAATTTTATTGACTCAAATATGATGTACGATTCTACCAAAATTTTATCGACTCTAAAATGTAGTAACTTTTATAAGTTGAATATTTGTAGATAAATGACAATTATAAAAAAAACAAATAGTAGACTAACTGTTGAAAAGCAGTTCGAGAAAATCGCAAACACTTGGACTTGGGTTTGAGGTTGTCTTGGATTTTTTACCATTTACTTTTGTTTCTGATTTGTCCGCTGAACTACTGTTGGCGGCCAATCCATTCCCACTGCAGGCGTCTTTTTCTCTAATCCTCTCTTTACATTTTACAGTTACTTTGTTAATTAATCTTATCACTATTATATTGTGCTTCCCAAGTCTCCTTATTGTTGCTGCTCATGCATTTCTTCCTCAACTTCAAAGCTTTTTTATTTTTCTCTTTTCTTCAATACAAGCACAATGTCGAGTAAGTCGATTCCGGTTGCTTCCATAACAAGAAGTAAATGGCGGAAAGCGCTGTCATCTTGTGGTGATAGCAAGCGGAGGAAGACATTGGCGGAGAATGATGGAAGCTTGGCCAAAACGAATATGTCTACGCCGCAGCCTTCCTTAAACGTTGACGTGTCTTTGAGTTCTCAAAAGAAAACCGCTCAAGTTCGAATATTGATAGATCACGAGACTAAGATGGAAGCAACCCTCAACCGGGTGTTATTTGGCTGAGTAGTGATGATGATAACGATGAAGAAGAATATAATGAGGATGACGATTCAGTCGGAGTTTCGGATGATGATCTCTCAAATACAAGTGGAGAGGATAATTCTAATCCAGACGATTTGGATTATTATGAGGAACAGGAAGAGGACTTAGAGGAGGATCATCGGCCATCTTCTAGTTCAGAAGATGACACCGAAACTTCTTTTTCAGAGACGTCAAGTCGTTTCACTGTGAAAAGAAAAGCTGCAGAGACCGAGCTCATCGTGGAACGCACTAAAGAGTGTAAAAAGAACTTAAGTGGCTCCATTGGCTTGGATGGTTCCGCCACCATGTCTGAGAGTAAAAAGTTTGATATTCTTAGCGTTCTCGCTGAATCTATTACGGACAAACAAAATTTAAACTTGGATTCTAACACATCCGAAGAGAATCTCATTCAAAGAAGAAAAAGAACACTTTTTGCCTCTCAAGTTTACTTTTGGAGATGAGAAAACCGAGTTCGAGAAAGAAATGGATTACCTGTAGTCTGAGATGCATTTCTCTATGGTGTCCGAGTTTGGTTCAACATCAACCCTTCCATCTATGGTATGTTGAATGCTTCATGAATAATAATGAGGACGCCCTTGTCTGCATGCTGCATATGGATTTGAACTGAACTAATACTTTTCATATTGAATTGCTGAACATGTGGAAAATGAAATTGCTAATGTTTCAGAGTCTGAACGTAACAGAACAACCCTATCTCGATGTCTTCAAGAGGATCGCCATCTCGTGTTAGACGAAGAAGTTGGAATGAAATGCAAATCCTGCTCTTTCCTGCTGCTGGATATCAAAGATATGCCACCACCTTTTGTAAGTTGTTTGTCATACCTCCATGTTTCATGCTTAATAATCTAAAATAGAACTTTCATTTTCATACTAGCGGTTTGTTTTGTTGTATCTTGGCTGGTTATAAAATGGCATGATGCTAGAAGAAGTGCTCTGTTGAAAACGTTGATGGATAAGCTTTCTTGCATTTTGAATTGCTAGGAATGCTGGGAATTTTATCCCATTAAATTTGGGGGCATTTTATTCTAAGTAGTTCCAGTGAGAATTATGCTATTGACCTAGCTAAATGGCTCAATAGGCTAATCACTAGGAGCCTAATATGTATATACATATATTTATATAACACTTAACTAAATAGCTCTTACTGACTGATGATTGATTGTTCATAACTTGGTTTCGCTTGATTCATATGATAGATCCTTGTGGAAAATATGAAAGGCAATTCTCTGGCATTATGGACTCTTCTATATTTGATGGCCTTCAATGTGAAGACTCTAACCGTGATATTCCCAGCATTGATCACTCTGCTCATATCGAGGGCATAGTGTGGGGAATCATTCCTGATTTGAAACGTAAACTCTATCCCCATCAGCATGAAGGTTTTGAATTTATTTGGAATAACATAGCAAGAGGGATTTATCGTGACAAGTCGAAAAACTCATCCAAAGGTAGTGGTGGATGCATTATATCTCATACTCTTGGGACAGGGAAAACGCTTCTCATGATAGTCTTTCTTCAGACGTACTTAATGAATATCCAAGTTGCAGCCCCGTGATTGTTGCTCCTCGCAGCATGCTACTCACATGGGAAGCATAATTTAGAAAGTGGAAGGTTGACATTCCCTTTCACAATCTCAAACACTAAGAAATTTTTCGACAAGGAAAAACTGTGCGGTATTGGACTTTATGAAAAATTCAAGTACCGTGTTCCATAGCAAGATAGACCTCTTGTCCGACGTATGGTGAAGTTGATGTCTTGGAAATCCGATGGAGGCATTTTAGGAATCAGTTACAACCTTTTTGTGCAACTTGCTGGAAAAGACATCGAGGAGAAGCAAAAATGTCCAACGGTAGATAAGCATGTGAGTAATGTTACGGAAGACGGTTCTCGAATAGAGCAAAATCGCAACTGATAATTTGAGAAAATAAAATATGAAGATAAAAAAGACACAAAATTTACGTGGAAAACCCCTAAATAATATAGGGTAAAAACTACGGGCAACGGTAGAAGAAATTCACTATGAGAAAATAAGAATTACAACTTCTCTCAATCTACCAAGGAGAAAACAATGATAATTCTCTCTTGATAAATAGGAGAAAACAACTCTCAAGAAACTCTATAAATTCTCTCTAGTATTGGAAGAAAGCTAGAATGATTTGGGATGGTTTTGAAGCTAAATGAGCTAGGGTATTTATAGTTGAAGCTTAAGAACTAATCTTATAAATACCCTAAAGTACAATGACTAAAATTGAGATTTTACCATTACCCATTTCAACAATTTCAGCTCACCTAATTACTGTGTATTTTGACAATTTATGCGCCTTATTTTTTCAATGCATTACGTGCACCAATTTTGACTTTGCACCATGCTTTCGGTGCACTTTGATTTTCAACAATCTCCCACTTGAAGATTTGATTAGAACAATCATATCTTCATATCATTCTTTCTACCCTGTACCATCATGTTGCTTACGTTTCTGACAGGCCACAAGAAGATCGACACCAGGTAAATTTATCAGCATTGATCGCTTTCGTCATGAAATCTGCTATGTTGTCTTTTATATGGATCTTCTGCATATCTATCGTCCCTTCTTCCACTTTTTCACGAATGAAATTGTATTGAACTCGTATGTGCTTTGTCCTTGAATGAAATGCTGGATTCCTTGCTATATGCAAGGCGCTTTGACTGTCACAAAACAAAGAGACATACTCTTGATTGTGCCCAAGCTCCTCCAATAGCATCTTCAACCAAATTGCTTCTTTACTGGCTTGTGTAACTGCTACATATTCTGTTTCTGTTGTGGATGTAGCCACAACTTCCTGCAATTTTGAAACCCAGCGTACAACTCCACTAGCAACATTGAACACATATCATGTAGATTTTCTTTTATCCAAATCCCCTACATAGTCAGAATCAACATATCCATTGATAAGTAAATTTGATCCTCTATAACATAATGCAATATTTGAGGTCCCTTTAATGTATCTCAGGATCCTCTTTACTGTATTCCAATGCTCTTTGCCTGGATTCGCCATGTATCGACTAACCACTCCTACTGCTTGTGCAATGTATGGTCTTGTGCATATCATAGCGAACATTAAACTTCCCACTGCTGATGCATACGGTACTCGAGAAATCTCCATCCTCTCTTCTTCACTGCTAGGACTCATACCGGAGGATAATTTGAAGTTAATAGGAAGAGGGGTAGAAATTGGCTTACAATCTTGTATGATGAATCGTGACAAGATCTTTTTCAAATAATTCTTTTATGAAAGCCAAATCTTCCTATTACTTCTGTCTCGATGAATTTGCATCCCTAGAATCTTATTTACTGATCCCAAGTCCTTCATTTCAAATTCCCTATCCAATTGTGCCTTCAATTCTTCAATATGATCTTTATTGGGTCCTGCAACTAACATGTCATCCACATACAACAACAATATAACAAAATCGTTATCACCAGACCTCTTGAAATAAGCACAAGGGTCTGCATTAAGTCTGTTGTATCCAAGGCACATAATGAAGGAATCAAATCTCTTATACCAATACCTCAGTGCCTGCTTTAGACCGTACAGAGATTTGTTCAACCTGCAAACCAAGTTCTTCTTTTCTTTTTCTTCAAAACCTTCAGGCTAAAGCATATAAATCTCTTCTTCAAGATTTCCATGAAGAAAAGTTGTTTTAACATCTAGCTGCTCTAGATGTAAATTCATTGTAGTACACATTGCCAAGACTACTCGAACTGTTGTTACTCGAACCACATGAGAAAAGATTTCATTGAAATCAATACCTTCTTTTGAGCATATCCTTTGACCACCAGTCTTGCACGATACCTCTCAACTTGAACGTCACCATTTCGCTTGATTTTGAAGACCCATTTGTTACCAATTGGCTTCCTTCCTTGTGGTAGTGGCACAAGGTCCCATGTAATATTTTTATGAAGAGCTTCAATTTCTTCTTGCATTTCCATCATCCACAGTGAAGCATCTGAGCTGTTTATTGCCTCCTGGTATGTTGATGGCTCACCGTCCTCTGTTAAAAGGCAGTATACAATATTACCTTCTATAACATAATCTGAGTGCCAATTGGTACGTCTTCTCACACGATCTGATTGACGAGTTGTTGGAGATTCAGAACTCTCTGGTTCTTATTCATAATGTGTTGGCTCTGCTTCAAAAGAATCTCCTTGTTCAAATTCCTTTTCCACATGTATCTATGTAGTCTCTGACTTTTCAGCACTGCCATCTTCTTCTTTTCTTTGTAGTTTATCTTCTACAAAGATAACATCCCTGCTGATGATCACTTTGCGGGCAGTGGGATCCCACAAGCGATACCCCTTTACTTCATCAGCATACCCCAAAAATTTGCATTTCCTGGATTTTGGATCCAGCTTTGAAATTTCTTGGGAGTTGTACATCACGTATACAATACTTTCAAATACGTGAAGGTTTGAATAATCATCTAGTTAACCAGTCCACATCTCCATTGGTGTCTTCAGCTCTATTACAGTTGATGGAGCTCGATTCACCAAATAACAGGCGGTATTGATTGCTTCTGCCCAGAATGATTTTTCTAGGTCTGCATCCCTCAACATTGCTTTTGTTCTTTCTAACAAGGTTCTGTTTATCCGCTCTACCACTCCATTTTGTTGAGGAGTGTTCGCCACTGTGAACTGTCTTTTGATGCATTCTTTCCTGCAAAAGTCATCAAATTCTTCGCTTGTGTATTCTCCTCCATTATCTGTTCTGAAACACTTGATCTTATTTCCAGAATCAAGTTCCACCCGCGCTTTGAAGTTTTTGAAAGTTGAAAACACATCTGACTTCTTCTTAATAGGGTACACCCAGCATCTCCTAGAGTAGTCATCAATAAATGGGACAAAGTATTTTGCTCCGCTTAGGGATGTAACCGGTGCTTTCCATACGTCAGAATGAACCAATTCTAGAACACTTTTGCCTCTAGAATTTGACGTGTTGAATTTCAACCGGTGCTGCTTACTTGTTATGCAATGCTCATACAAGATAAGTGATACCTTTGTTAAGCCTGGAAGTAGCTTTTGCTCCACAAGGACTATCATTCCTTGTTCTGACATGTGTCCATGTTTTGATGCCATAGCATTTCCGAATCTGAACTACATGAGGCAACAGAGGCTTCTGCTTCTAGCAAAGTCTCTCCCTTCAGCATGTACAAGTTTGTTGCTATCTTTTCGCCTTTCAGCACCACAAGCGCTCCACAGAACACCTTCATGATTCCTTTCCGTGTTTCAATCTTGCTTGCATTATTATCCAACAATTCGTAGG